GAAAGGCCTTTTATAGTGACCGCTTCCTAGCCAAATCTGCCCAAACCCACTCAAACCACCAGATCTCAGACCCTATTGCCCAAGCCAAGCCAAGCAAACCACAAAAAGAGCTCTAGAAAATGCCTTTCAAAGCATGAATCCTCTAGAAAATGCCGTGCATATTGTATAGCAACCACAGGCCTCCACTGGAGGGAGGCAGGAACCCAGGAGCGAAAGAGATAACAAAGCTTTAGGCCAGAAAGAAGGAAAACCCAATCCTAGGGAACAAAAAAGTGTTCAAAATATGCATTGAAAGGCATTTTCTAAGGATTTATGTGTTGACAGGCATTTTCTAGAGTCATTTTAGCTTTTGTGTTGTGAACATATTTCATCACGATGAATTTGAACAACATTTGCGCGCAAGCGTTGGTTCTAAAAATTGCTATGCCAGATTCCCGCTGTGACATGATCTCCAAAACCAACTTCTCTATAACATGCGTTGCCAGATCCACCTAGCGTGAACGCACCTTTTCTATAAAATGACTGACCCAATCACATGTCCAGATCCGACCTGCTCCTCTAGGAAATGCCTTGTCAAGAGATCACTAGGCATTCCATAAAGTATCCAGATACAGTCCCAGAACCGCCTCTATAAAATGTAGTTCCATGTCTTCCCAAGACTACCAACAACTACCCTCTCTATAAAATGCCTACCAAAAAGGCATTTTTATAGTGGCAAGGGATCCCCATTTTTTAGAGACCCAGTTGCGGGGGATATCAAGGGTAGTGGCTGGGTGGCTGGGGGTGTTGGATGTAACAGGATCAGCGCGATGCTGGAGAGCCTTTTCTCCCGTCTTTTTCACGATTCTGTTTTTGTTCCTGAACCAATCATCATGAAGCTGATAGGATGCTAAGGCTTTCTGCGCAGGCCTTAGCTCGAAACGACATGTGTTTTCTGGTGGTTCGGAAGTGCCGATGTGTTCGACCGATGACACACCGCGGACCTCTTTGCAGTCGGGACTTCCAAATGCGAACAGCTCCACGTTCGTGGCCGGGAAAACCAAGACGCTCCACGACTGATGTTTCTGCACGACTGATTTTTCAGCATCGAAACAGCAAGACGACCCGTGGTGGTGCAAGTGGTGCTTCCTCCGAATCTGCGCGGTTCCTACACCTTTCCTCTTCTGTACGCCGCTGCGTCACTTGCGCCCGCGACCAGTTGGTGGCACAACAGAAGCCGGCACAGTCTGTCACCTTCGCTCCGCAGAGGTCTGGCACAGATCTTCTGGCCTTCCACAGCCCAAACCCAGACGCTCCATGCATGGTATATTTACCTACATTGGGGTGGTTGTGGGGGTGCATGGTGTCTGGGAAAGGGCTGCGCAGAGAGCGCCCTGAGATCTTCTGTAAGCACGGTTCCGTGTTCGTGTTCCACGTGCAGATTTCTGGCTTCTTGCAGGCAAAACTCTCGAGATCAGTTGTTCTATGTTGGGGTCCTTACCAGTATACCCATATAACATACCCCCAGATTAATGTTAGTTATATATATATTCCGCATACTACCATACTTCAAATAGAAGTAATCGAGACTGTGTTGAGATTTTGGATTATTTAAACAGAGGGACAAGTGGTAGGTATCCTTAAGCAAACGCAAAATCAAGTATCTTGAACTATATATTATTGAATAAATTTGGACATCCTTCGGCTGGATACCGAACCATTCAGAATCCTTCAAAATCAGAGACTGCAAAGACAGAAACATTTTGAAATTATTCTGCCGGTTGTTGACATCAGGGCAAGGGCTGGAATAAAAAACTTGAAACGTTACATCATGCCAGATTCATTTATATAAGAGTAGACACAAAACAAGAAATACAGAATATATCCAAAGATCAGAAAACAAATGCCTAGGCTCCAAGTACTTTCTAAGAAGGTGTTTGGGGTGGGTTTAGAGGGTCCAAATACCTTCTGAGGAGGTACTTGAAGCCCTAGGGAATGATAATATATGGTTTTAATTGAACATATCTAAATAGCATCCTTCGCATCGGCGCTATTCGGAGGCGTGTCGTTGACGGCTGCGCTAAGGCGCCGCAACCGGAGAGGTCGCCACAAAGCCCAAGGTTGCTGTAGGCAGCAGCCCCACCAAGCTGCTTATCCGCGAACCAGCAGTGCAAAAAAAACGCTGAACCCACCGCGTGATCGCAGTGCTGAGCGTGAATGTGCGCGTCCGGGGGGCGGCGACTGGAAGGTCCTGCGTGGCTTATCCAAATGGCTCATCTCAACTTTTAGCTGCAGAAATCGGTGCATGCCCAGCGAATGATCTTTCACATACCAGGACCCTCCTGGCGATCGAACACGAAACACCTAACTCGGAAACACCGGAAACACCGCTCTCGAAGGGTCCAGGTGCTTCGTGCTCTGATCTTCGTGCTTCGTGCTCAGCACCAACGAGATGCGCGTGCTCATGGGAATGGACTTCCAAATTCCAAATACCTGTGCTGTTGCTAGCCACGAGCAACAAGTGGGAGATGCAGTTCTAAACCCACCCAAGGTTTACAGCTGGTAGCGCGCTACCTCTGCGCGCGGGATGACCATGAGTAAAGTACTCGCGAGGTACTCGTTCTCCACTCACAAAAGGAGCTCCTGACTGAAACTCAAGCTCTATGCCCAGGCACGACCAATGGGATTGGAAGATGCACCTACATTGACCCTGATAAAATGATCATATATATATTTATATTTATATATTGTATATATATTATCTTATATATATGGTATATAATGATGGTATCTTATAACGTCTTAAAGCCAACCCAAGGTAAGCTATAGATCCAGTCAACTATGAAAAGAAGGCCCTGATGAGTTCAGGACCGGTTCTTCTTTCGGAGAAGACCTCCAACTCGACTGGGGCTTCTTTGTTCCGCGTCGAGCTCAGCTTGGCTCAGGGCATGGCGCACCAATCTCAGGTGCGCCGCTCTCCCCGTCGGGACGGGACAACTCCCCGCATTGAGGATGTCACCTGGAAACATAAACAGTACTTGGATTTCCCATTGAAATTCCACCAGTTAGGTGGTTTGACCAGGAAAATACACATCACCCACTATATAACTTATAACACTAAGCAAAATCCAGACCCATTGTTGTCCCGTGATTGGCCCCGTCCTGGGCTGAAGACATCTTGTAGACTCTTCGTTGTAGATGTAGAGCAGACTTCAACTCAGTCCACGGTGCATCACGACACCGACGAGCGAAGACCGTTGGAGAAACGCTCCACCAGTGATGTCCAAAACGACCTCCAACAAACAGAACAAAACATATCCTGAAGCTTCCTTCGCTACAATAAGAACGCGCGTTTCACAAAAGTGCTTGTTCAAGCAAAAAGAGCTACACAACTTAATCAAACGCACATGGATCCCTCTCGTTTCCAAACCATGTTGGGGTGGTTCGCCATGGTTTCAAATTGCGCTCGTTTTGCGGCAATTTGTGCGCGTTTTGTTGCATTTTGCGCGATTTTTGCGGGTTTCCAAACAAAACATGTTCAACAATCAGTGTTCAACATCTTCAAAAAAAACGTTTGCTTCATCAAAACATTAACACAGTGCGTGTTTCATCAACAAACAACAACGAATCTCTCAATAGTGCTCATTTCCTTGGTTCGCCAGAAAACAAAGTGCTACCATTGCATTATCCCTAGGGATCCAAGTACCTTCTCAGAAGGTGATTGGAGACACTGTTGTGGTTTGGAGGGTCCAAGAACCTTCTGAGAAGGTACTTGCTGAGAAGGTACTTGGATCCCTAGGTACATTAGATATCCTCATTAGATAGTACCAGGGTCCCCCATGGCATGTCCAATTGTTTAACCCCTTCCAAACGTGATTCGGGGTGTGCAGCACCGAACTCCCGTGGTTCTACCAGGTACACATCAAGCAGATCTCTTCCAGCAACCTGCGGAGTTCATGAGGAGCTGAATCCCATGCGCTGCTCCAAGAAGATCCGGGCCCCCGCACGCTTCGGGAGCATGTGAACCTGTTGACTCCAGACTCGGAAGCCGCGCGCGAAGGGTAAATATGCCATACAATTGATTTTTATGTAAAGGCCAGCTGTGGATGGGATCTGCGGAAGGAATGGTCCTTCAAAAGGGTTGATGCAGGAATTTGCTTTTGCATGCTTTTGCTACCTGCACCCGGATCAACAGAACACGAATGAACAAGTTCGGTGATCAGCTGGACGGTCCCACATCTACCTTGGATTTGCTTTAAGTCTTTAAGGAACCTGGAAAAATAACAACTTAACATGACAATAGGGAAAAAAACAAATCCCTTATAGGGCAAAGCCAGGCTACAGATTGTAAGGGATCAAGTGACATCCATCTTCAAAGGGCGCAATGTAGAGTGTGGTCAAAACCCTACACCTCCAAGTACCTCCTCAGAAGGTATTTGGACCTCGAAACCCACTCCAAACACCTTCTCAGAAGGTACTTGGAGGCCTGTAGGGAACTGGTTTGAGCTTCATTCAACAGATTCTCTGGGAGTTAGATTCTTTGACTGTTCCAAGAACAAACACCTCCCGTTCAAGCAACACGAGTCGTTGGACTTTCTCACAATTTCCTGCCAACTTGAGCAAATATATGATCTTTGCCGACGTACATCGCGAGGATCTGTGTATCCAGGAATAGTACATCTAGAAAGCCATAGGACAAACACTCCAGGTGCCCTATACCGTAAGATCCCGTAACAGTCTGCAAGGGGCAATGGAGATGGAGCACGGTCAAACGTCGGTCAACTCGTCTTCGACCAGTGTCTTCATGTCATCCGAAAGTCTGGGGGTCTGATGACTCAGTTTTTCCAGGACACGGTCTGGGATGGTCTGGGATAGTCCAGCTAGATACTTCCAGTTTTGGGGCAACATGCCCTTGTTACAAACATGCCGCATACCCATGAAGGGTTTACATCCCATGGAGGGAGCCCAAAAGCCTCCGAAGACATGCGTTTCGGGCCGTCCTGAAGCGGGAAAGCGTCTGTGGATCACGATGGCCTCAGGCAGAGCAACAGGACGAGGACTGTTGCGGATCTCATCTACCCTAAGAGTCCAATCGGCTAACATGTAAACTTTATATATATATATATATACCCATACCCTGCAGGGATCCAAGTACCTTCTCAGAAGGTACTCGGACCCTCCAAACCTACATAACAGCGTCTCCAATAATTTTCTGAGAATGTACTTGGACCCTTGGATCCCTATAGGGATACATAACTATACACAACAAAAAATGCTCAGAATGGAGAGAATAGAATAGCATTTGAAACTGCGGCAGTGGAGGGAGATCTGACAGGTGGCAGGTTCTGCAATTTGGCCGCAGCAGAATGTCAGATGATGGACTCTCTAAGGCCGAAAGCAGGTAGAGCGTAGCTGCTCCAGAACTTCATCCTCTCACTCCTGGGCCTTTTCTTTAAGGAAAACCCATCGCTTGCAGCTCTCCAAGAAGCTCTCCAACCGGTTGCACCCGCCCGCGCCACCAAACGCTGCGCGTTTGGACCGCCCCAATGTCAAAGGCCGAGGATGTGGTCGGTGCAGCGTCGTTTTCATTCATCGTTGGCGTGTTCCACGGTTTCCGGACATCCAGTGGACCACCTCTGAAGCATCGATCGAGACCAGGGAAGCGGATTCCATGTACCCTACAAATCCGTTTTCTGATGTATACCGAACCTCAGGTTTGGTGATGTCTTGTCTCCACTGAGACATGAGACGGTGCCAGCCAGTCGGGTCCAGTTAAGTACCTTCACCTGAGGTTCAGTACGACTGGATACCTAGAAAAAAAGTGGCATCCAGTCATACCTGGACCGACTGCAAGTACTTTTTAGAAAATGGAACATGACCCCATCAACAAACGGGTACCATCTTGTACCCATTTTCCCATGGCCAGGTGCTTTGAGGCTTCGTTCTCCCAAGGGCAGTGCGAGGGTGGATGCATTCCGACACATCAGACGCTCCCTCTTTGAAGATGTCTTCCTGGAAACTGTGGAATCCCTGTTCCAAACTCCTCCCTAGGATTCCCGGCCCACCATTGATTCACTATCATGTAATCACTTGAATCCAAGTTCAGAACTTGGTTTGATTTCACACTACCAAGTAGCCAGGTCCTAGAATGGTTTCAATTAGCCGCCTTTGTATCGGTTTATCATACCGCTGGTCCAGACATTGGCTCGCACCGTTTGTCTAACGGTGGATCACCGCAACCGCAGCTGATTGGCAGCTAAAAACCCGTGGCACTTGGGGCAGCTCAACCCTTTGTATCTCAAACATGTATCTCAATCTCCTGGACCTTCCCAGTGACCTTTTGGCTTTTACAAGCCTGTTCGTGACCGAACCAACCAGGGGATCAAAGTCGGTCACCGGGAAGATCTCCTGGCTTCTGCTGACCAGTTAGGACACGGTCACCAACTGAAGCTGGCTGGCCTCTGTAGTAGCTACCTTTCGTGACCTGACAAACCTCCTGCCTGCTTTCTCAACACTTGCACGAGACATTGAAACCATTTGCAATGAGAGGGCCGGAACAATGGTCCAAGCTCGAGAAAGTCGCTGGAGACACGAAGCGACAACAGGCCTGGAAAAGTGTCAACCTATTGGTGACGCATGCTTAGTAAGGATCACATGAAATGAACCCTAAGGTATCTCTCATGGGGTGTCAACCAACCTCATTCCGACCAGTCTCTCTCCCAGGTCATCCAACTTTACTCCCGACTCCCAGTCTGACTGGCCCAGATGCAGTCAAAACGACCCTGCTGAGATGCCCCAACTGCTGGCATGGCAACAGCCACAAGACTTCCCGAAGTGACATCGTTTGCTTATGGTGTAGAACACGCAAGGGACGCCTGGCACGGCAGGTGTAGAGCGAGCGTTCCGAACACGCAGGAAAAAGGACGCAAAGGAAAGATGGGACGTCGGAGCGACTTCCACAAGGCCCAAACAACATTCATCTAATCTTGTTCCCCAAAGAACCACTTAGTTACGTAAAAGGATCCTGACCTCACTGCCACATAGTGACCTCACTTGGTCTCCGGTTGCAGGTTTATTGCCGACAAGTTCGGTCACTGGATGAGATTCCAAAGTTCGGTCAAAAACTTTCAGAACTAGTTGTTTGGTACTTGACGTGAAGGGCTTTGAGCCCACTGGTGGCGAATGAATGGCCTCAAGGGCCTTGGCACGTGTTCTCCAGGCACCTTCCCATTCATTGCTACATGCTACAATCACCACTTCACTCACCACGTGTGTGTGACACCACCGTGGCGCTGAGGTCTGGGCAGGTGCCATCCTCATGACTTCGTTCTTGCGCAGATGGTCGACAATTCAGCGACCAGTGCTCAGGCCTCGGGACTAGTGGGCCTCCTAAGAACTAGAGGGGCCCACCCGGTCTTTTCAAGCATTCATCAGGTTACAAAGCCGTAAAACATCTTAAAAGCATGGTACTTCGGGATTCAAGGTATTGGTGGGCCTGGGCTTCATCCGGGTCTTCCCATCCAAAGAGCAGAGCTCTGTGGAGCTCCAGGCTCCAGCACTTCCCGATCAGGGCTCGGTGCCATCCGATCTCCAGACCACTGGGTGACCATCGACTTCGGTGACCATCGACTCGTTTGGGGTGTGAACACCATCCCCCGAGGTCCGCCCTGCGAAGCACCATCCATTCCCGAAAAATGGCCTGGCACGGCCGTTTTTCAGCTTGATTCTCGATTGGATGATCCTGGATATCCTTGGATCCAGTCCGAACCCTAAAAATGGTTGACCTGAACATGCAAGCACGTTCAAAATACCCAGACCATGCTGGAATCCTTGGACACTCCATAACAGGGTTTGGACCCGGCCTCCTAGCAGGCGTGTTCAAATCCTGTTCTATTGCTTCGGGCTTTCGGATTCTCAAACCATTTACTTTGCCAATGGCTGCTTTGCCAATGGGTCTTCGCTGCAACATCAACCGAACCTCCGATTGATGGGTACAAACAACCACGTTGCCCACTCCGGTGAGGGAACCCTCCGCGAACCACCCGTCGCTGTCCGGTCTCGGTCTTCTCGTTCGTTGCCGAAAGGCGCTCCCAGGGCCAAGGAGATCATCTCTTCTCCACAGAGCTCCTACGAAGGAAAGACCCTGGGCCCGAATCCTCTGGAGGGGTCGGACCCTCATCCTCTGGAGGGGTCTAGGGTCTGAGGGACCAAGGGCTGTTTGGAGCGTCTGAGTACGAAGGAAAGACATGGCTCCAGCAGCCAAAGCGACTGGAAGAGTTGCTGGCTCCAGCAGTCACAAATTCGCTCGGGGTGCCGGTCAGACTAAAAACCACCCCGAGCGACAGTGACACCTGTGACATCATACATGGTCATTTTATGGTCCTGTTCAGACACTGCCCCAATCCCATAGATGGTCAGGGGTTGGATCTACTATTCCATCAGCATCCCGTTGGTCTGGGAAAATGGCGCCAACGACTCATCAGTACACTCTGAGGAACACATGGAAGTGGAAAACCACCCTGTTCGTAAACGGATGGAGATCCTGGAACATAAAGTTTTTGCCACAACGTTCCATCTATTCATTGATGTCCCCAATCGCCCCCAAAAAAGATTGTGCAGGGTGGTCCACTCTTCCTAGGTAGGTTTCAAGGGTCATCTTCGTGATGCACTGGGCTCTGTCCTTCACTTCCTTCAGGGAACGGTGAGAGCGATTGCTAGGTCCGGAGTCCGATGCTCGAAGATCTCCCCATATATAGGACCATCCTAGACACGACCCTGGGCCCGAATCCTTTGCAGGGGTCGGACCCGAATCCTCTGGAGGGGTCCATACCCATAGGGTCCAGGAACCTCCTGAGGATGGTCTTGGAGGTGAGTACGTACTTCCAGAGAATGGTCGAACGGGGGGTCAAAGGACATCCGATTCGGATGGTCCTGGACCCTTAGGGATATGGTTTGCTTCGGGACCCGAGCTGGTGAAACAGGAGCTTCGACCTTGGACCCGGCGATGGTCACCCCAATGGTCACACCGGCGGTCTAAAAGAGGGTTCGGACCTGCCAACTCGTGCCCTGCATGAGTGATGTTCGGAGCGAGCTATAGCACTATCGCCATGCTGGTGTTGCGAGACAACCACCGAATCTGATCTGGGTGCTTCCCTCCCAAGTAGTATTGAAGAAACTCATGATCAAAAAATCACGTAACAAAAAACACATCATTATCACATAATATCACCTTACTAACTCCTCTGGTTGGTAGATTGAAGCATCCCAGCAAGAAGAACCCCCCGCGGCCGGTTTTCTCGCGCCGAAGCAGCTCCTGGTGAAAAACATCCTCGGAAAGGTCTGAACCGGCATCACCTGCCTCCTGCACACGGGCGATGGAGAGCTTCTTCGGTGTTTGGACCCATCGTCAGGGACCCTCAAGACCATACATGTGAGACCTTCTAGCACTGCATGTGATGTATATTCCCTACCAATCCACGGGACTGAATACTTGCCTACATTTGGGTATAGGTAACTATTCCAAACATGGAGTGCTGCATATGTCATCTTTAAAGCTCCTCCAGACTCCAGGTCTACACATATAGCTTTGCTTTGCATTGCGGGTCGTTCCCAGGAGCACCATTCCGGTGAGAAAATCACCCTTACCCATGTGGATCCCAGGCAACCCACGAGTACGTCTAGGAACCAGGGGCCCTTCGGAACCGGTCGAAGTGGTTATCCCTAGGGCTCCTGGCCTGCCTCCTGAGGTACGCTGGTTGGGGTGGGTGCCAGGCGGGCCTAACCACCTTCTGAGGATATGGGCCAGGAGCCCTAGGGTTGGTCGTCGAACTGGAACCACGACGGGACTCCCAGCGACATCGTGGGAACTGCCTGGATGTACTGGGGTAGCTTGTGGCCCACCACGCTCGTCGCCCACCACCCGTATGAGGCGACGCAACGAGGCGCCGTCGTTCCGTCGCCCGAACTCGAAGGAACGTCCAGAACTGCCCTGGTCGTATGGAGTTTCTGAAGGTCGTTGCATAGGACAGCTGGAAAGTTGGAAGGTTGGTTGGTTGGTTGGGTTGGGTTGGTTTGGGTTGGTTTGGTTTGGCTTGGCTTGGCTTGGCTTGGTTTGGTTTGGTTTGATTGTTGTTTGTTCGTAGTCTGTTTTGTTTCCTTTGGATTGGTTTGGTTGGTTTGGTTTGTTTTGTTGATGTTGTTGTTTTGTTTGGTTGGTTGGATATTTTTTGGTTTGTTTGGTTTGGTTTGGTTTGATTGTGTTGCTTTGTTTTTTGTTTGTTCGGTTGCTTTGCTTCTTTCGGATTGGTTTGTCAACAGCGCTGCATGGTCAGCCACCATTGCTCCTATGGCCAAGGTACCTACAAAAAACAAGGGTAACTACCTTAGCACAGCAATCGCTTGAGCCCCTTCTTGTGCCTCTTCGTGAACAGGTTGGCGCTCCAGTTCATGATGAGCACCATGGCGGAGTCGATGGAGTTCCACCTAGACAGGTCCACCATCGTCTTCATCAAGCTCTCCATGTCGGCGAACAAGGACGTGGAGGAGTGCAAGATGTACCTGGCGTAGTGCCCGATGTCGCTGGTGCTCCTCCTGTGCGAGATCAATCCCGTGACGATGAACCGGTACACCGGGGTCTTCAAGATGTCCTTGATGCTCGTGCCGGGGACCATGCTGTCCTTTGAGTGGTACTTGTCGATGAGCAACTTGGTATAGGTATAGGTTGGTCTATTTTGTTTTGCTGTGTTTGCTTGTTTGTTTGTTTGTTTGCTTGCTTGGTTGCTCCTTTGTTTGTGTTTGTTTGTTTGGTTTGGTCTGGTTTGGCTTGGTTTGGTTTGGTTTGGCTTGGTTTGATTGTTTTGTTGTGGCATTTGTTGTTTGCTTTGCTTCGTTTGGATTGGTTTGGTTTGATTGTTTTGTATTGATTTTTGTCTGTTTTGTTTGGTTCGGATCGGCTTGGTTTGTTGTTTGTTTGTTTGTTTTTGTTTTGGCTAGTTGTTTGTTTGTTTGGTTTGGTTGCTGTGTTTTGTTTGTTGTTGATGTTGTTGATTAAGGTGAGTGAGGGTTGTCAGATTTTAAGAGCCGCAAACAACAAGACACACTTGCAGTCCGCAGCAGGTGAAAAAGTTAGATGCGTGCAGCAGGTGAAACGTGTATTTATCCTCCACACTAACACCCGACATACCTCTCTGCTTGATGTTCATGTTATATGTTTTTTGGTATGGCTGTATGTTTTTTTAGTATGGCTAGAACGGGGATGCCCCCTTTGCTCGCGAAATCTGATGGTACAGTACGGAGTTGGCACCGCTCAAAACATCTCAATGTCATTCATGCGCCGAAACAAACATGCGAAACATCGACGAAACATGACGAAACCATCGATGTGTGGATGTTTGGATCGCAGCCGAAACAAAAAACGAACAAAATCGACTTCGGAGCGTGCCGACCTCTGACCTTTCCACCTCCTTCGCAGGGGCCTCAAGAGTTTCCTGCCGTGCGCAGAGTCGCTGGAGGTGCCAACCCCGTGGTTCTAGAAGTGGAGCGCTGGATGGGCGTGGGCATGAGAGATTTGGCCTATGGAAGGGAGTATGAGGAGGTGAGATGGTGGGAACCGTTGAAGATCGCAGATCGCAGGGCGTTGGAGCTCTCATGTTGCACCAAACTTCCCTACCCCTACTGGAAGTGGGATGAAGTGGGAGGTGTGCGAAAATGTAAGCTACAGTTTCCAATTTATACATTTTCCAGCACGCCCCAAGGGATGTCTAATGAATAGCCCATTAAAGGTAGAGGGGTGTCCATTAACCACCCCTTTGTGTTCCTGGCTCACAGCTTCAACGACGAACTGAACATGCAATCCCAGAATGGAGCCTGTTGGACCCTGTTGGCCCAAACGATGCCCCGCTGGAAGTCCAGGAGATCGAAGGATCGGGTTCTGGGACTGCCACTGGGACTGCCATAGGACTGCCGGTCCATTGACCCCCCAAACCACCGCCCCTGGCCTGATCGGCATTTATGGCAGTCCCATGGAGTGTGTGGGAATGGTACGTTTGACTTCTAGGGATCAAGTAGATATGACTCATACCTGGATCCTCCTTTAGGCTAAAAAGAAGTGCCGGACCTCAGGCGAAAAAACGCCGGGGACCTGGAACAACAGCCGGATCCAAGTTTTTGAAAAACCCAGATGATGAAAGAGGTTGGGTCATACACAAGCAAACTGCCTTTGCGCCACAATTATAAGATTTTCTGGAACACACTCATTCCACAACCCAATCACTGGAGCCTTCCCGTTCCCATGGCCCTCGCCCATCTTCCGAAATGCCCAAGAGCAGAACCTTCACAAATATAGGCAAACTTGTGCCCAAGCAAAGACTTCCAAGAACAAACCAAGGAGTATGTGGCAAGGAGCCCCTCTTTCTCTGCAGCCGTGTCTCTCAAGCTCTTTTACAAAGTGGGTCGCTTCCTGTCCACGCAACACTTTATTGAGCCTTCTGCAAAATTGCATACGACAGTGCTTGACCTGTGTCAGAGGGCATCCTTTGCGCTTTGCCAAGGTCACGTACACACAAGTCAGAGTACAACACCGCCTCGATTCAGGCGAGCCTTCAAGCCAAAAAAGCGCTCCCGGAGGTTTTGTCGGAAAATCATGGATGCGATCATCAGAAAAAACGTTCATCGTCCAACAAGCGGGTTTATCACGCTCATCTCTGCTCCAAAATTCCGAACACAGGGCACCGCATCTGCCTTTGTTGCGTCCGCTCAAAAAGACCCAAGGCTTCAAAGCGAGACCGTGCTTGTCACACGTTCCATATTTAAATGTACGCGGACGTTGCGCAACTTGTTGAAACACCTGCGCGCGTGCAGAACCTGGCAAAGAACCAGGAACCGTGTTCTTTCCAAGGGAATTCCACTGCATTGCACTTCGTGTCACCCCCCCACCCCCCCCCACGGTCAAATAGTCCTTGGAGAGAGTAAAAATGGTCCGGAACGCAGGGGTCACTGATGACGCCGGCAGCCAGAACAAACGAAAGGAACCGAACATTGGGGTGATGTTGAACATTTTAAGATGTCTTTAATTAGGGTCAATTTGGTCAATGTAGGTGAATATTCCATGACATGCTTAGGGAATCATTTCACAATGACTCAACAAACGTAACATGTGAAGCTTCTGTTTCCATCGTTGAACGCCCAACCAATCCCGAGGGCTAAGTACACCAAACTCAAAACCACCAGTCCGGAAACGGCCTGGCTCCCGAGCACCGGCCGACCGGGGTGGTTGTTGATGCCCCAGACCTGGACCCGACATAGGTACCTTCAAACCATCGGACATGTCCATCATGTCCCTTTTGAACCAACAGTGGCAGGTACCAACTTCACCCTACAAGTCGTGGCCTGAATCCCGAACCACCATGGTTTTACTAAGGGTTTTACATTACAAAACCAGATCAACCATGTAAAAAAATGGTCGACTTGACTTCCATGGCTTCATTTATCTTAAGATATCTTCAGTGGTCTGAGTTCCGAACTGTGTTTTCGCTGAGCTGCGGTTGAGGTTCTGGTCGTGGACACGACTATCACTCTGGGCCGTCTCTGGGCATCGGACGCAAGTACTTTGTAATGGAATCTTGTTCTGCGTGGCTTTCTTTCCTCGCAGGAGTCGCCAGAAGCCGCGCCAGGTGCGAACTGACTGCAAAGTGCGCAGCAAAAACACACCTTGGAAGAGTGCGGCTCAGCAACCCAGCGCACTCAAATGACGCGTATACCAGTGAAAACCCATGAATTCTATCCCGCACTAACCTACCGGCACCCGACTTCACAGTTCACCGCCCAAGAATGCAGGGCACAGTTCATCGCCACCCGGTCGACTCGGAGACCTGTCGACATCGTAGGGACAGGCCAGGCGAGGTATAGAGTGTGTTGAGTGCCAATCCTTTGGTGGGGATCTTCCAGAGTACCAATCCCAAAATCAGCCCAGCTGAGATCCTTGGAGAGCTGGGGAGACCCAGGGAGAGCTGGAGACCCTGGGAGATGTAAGGCTGAGATCTATGGTAGAACAGGGTGACATGCGAGAGTCCAGGTCGTCCACTTTGAGCCATGTTTTGGCTGATTTCACCTATTTCTGGCTGGTTGCACTCCCGACAAGTTGGATCTTCCCAATTTCAGTGCACGTGCAGATTTTTCATCCATAAGACCTCGAGCTATAGATGTCTTCGTCTGGCGGGGTCTATAAACCACTCGAACTAGATGCTTCTGGTATGTGCTGGACACATGTGAGGTGGAATGCTCCCGGGATCTGCCTGCCTATATCACCTGAGTGGCCTCCACTGGACCCACCCAAACACCCCCAAATTGTCTTAAGTCCAACACCCCAGGACCTCCCAACAAAAAACGGGAAGCGACGTGGACCCGACCTGGACGCTTTCGGCTCTCGGTGAGCCCGGCCTGGCCACTTTTCTTCAGGTCTTGAAACCGAGGCGCCTCACACCGAGCACCGTCGAGCGAGCGACGACTGACCTGATGGACCGACCTGGAACTCGGGGGCCGCTCGGGTTCCGCCCCAGTCGTACCGTACCGGGTTAGCTGTTTTTGGTACTATAGGGTCAGTCATGTCCCGTTTATTCTATAGGGTACGAACGAAGTCGGGTCCAGGTGACTTGTATGACCAGTTAACAACCCTAAGAATCCGGGCCCGAACCAACCGAATCCGGGCTTGATTCGGGCCCGGATCCCTGCTAAGAGGTGAAGAAGGTCCGACCCCTGCTATGGAGAGCCCGTTTGGATTCTTAGGGAAGTGAACATGAGGGTTTTTCTGGCAGGTGGTTAGATCGGTGTTGGTACGTAGTAAGTTTACCAGTAAAACAGTTCGGTGTTCTTCGGAATTCAAACCATTGCACTTGTGGTGGGCCAGGAGGCCAGCCTAGGGCCTAGGGTCCATGTATGGAAGAGTTGCATAAACTGGTTACATGTCTGGAGGGTCCAGGTAGGCTCTCCCAGAGTAACATGTCTCTCCTGAAGGAACCATTTGATTTGCTTTGCCCAGGCATGCGACCCTGGGCCCGAATCCTTTGGAGGGGTCGGACCCGAGTCCTCTGGAGGGGTCTGGGGTCAAACCATTCCCTAGCTACAAGTAGGATCAAGTAGGCTTTCGAGGGACCAGTCGGGCTGTGAACGGAGCGTCTGGGTGCTCTATTTCGATCATGCTCACTGGTTTGGTCTTCTCCGGGTTGGGAAGGGCCCGAATACAAGCCGAACCGACCCTTTTTCAGTGAGGACGCTGGTAGAGTGTGGAAGAAAAGGCTGACTCTTCCAAGATTAAAGCATCAGGCATCTTCCAGATGGAAGCCCAAAACGACTGTAGTAGCTGTATGCCTCTGTTTGCCATTGACAAAGGATTCCTGGCAAACCATTGATTGAATTGCCTGAATTCCAAACAACATATAGCTTGACCGAAAGATTGCAGTACAAAACCAGACCTACCAAATTCTTTCCATGGTTTTGTGCAAGTTTATGTCATGTTTCCACCCGGACCGCGTCCCTCATCCTCCAGCGTTTTCATTGGCCTTCAGCTGCGTCGTCCGGCCGCAGGAAAGGCATCCTGAAGCGATCCAAAAGCCGACGACTAAGCGAAGCCCCGCCCTCTTGGACTTGCTGAAGGAACCTCGAAAAAAACAAGAATATTCCCCACCAGCTGCTTCCAAGGGCATACCTGGCTGGACAACCCCACACATAGGTCACTAGGTCACCAGACAGGACACCCAGACAGGAAGCGAAGGCGCTAGGCAGGTTTGGGGATTTCCCCAGGAACCTCTGAGAAACCATGAAATCACCTGATCCGCAAAACCAGGTCCTCTGCCCATTCTGCCCCCAGGAAGGAGCACATCTTTGCTCAACTCTTCAGCCGACCTCGCTGTGACGACCTCGTGAATGACCTCGCTGTGACACACCCAGCAGTCACCAAGGGGGTGCTATCCATGAAGTCGGGGTGCCCCTGTCACATCCACAGCCCCTGGATGGGACTCAACACCTGACTCCTGGACTCCTGAACGCGGAAACTCTTTAAGATCCCTATAGGGATCCAGTCGTACCTTCTCAGGTACTGTGATTGGAGACTGTTGATGTAGGCACCTGGGTCGGGCCCAGTCGTACCTTCTGAGAAGGTATGTGGATCGCTATAGGGGATTGGTATAAGTTGAATTAACTTGATATTTTGAATTTGTCTATACCCTAGACCTCCAGTCATACCTTCTGAGAAAGTGGGACTGGGGTTATTGCCAGGAGGGTTCAAATACCTTCTGAGGAGGTACGACTGGAGGTGTAGGGATATATACCTGGACCCTCCGTTTTCTCTCGGTGAACCATACAGCCAAAATCACATCACATCACCGGAAAACAGCCCAACCAATGCCGCCGACCCCCTTCCTGCCCGGGCCGCGACCAAAAATAGTCCTCATTCGTTTCATTGCCATCAACGGTATGGGTGGGCTCGAGCGTGGGCCCTGAAGAGAGCACGGGTGGCCCCGCAGACCAAAATCCAGATGCTGCATCGAAGCAAGAATTCTCTCAAATCACCGGTCAGGCCGGGAAGAAACATGACCAAAACCACTTCAATTGAGAGATGGCACAGACCCCAATGCCGGTGGTTGGACCCCCTGTCTAGGACATCTTGGGGTCTGTGCCATCGAACCTCTGAAACCACAGTGCATGGAGTCACATCGAGGCAGCCTGGTGCCGGTTCCGAGTTCGGAGGAAGGATGGAGGGAGTTGTTGCCAGTGAAGAAGCGAGGGTTGTGCTCCAAGAGCCTCCAGTGAGGGAACGTCGAATTGATCATGGTCCACATCCCAGACACGACCTGCCTGGGACTGCCATACCTCTAAACCCCTCTGGCGGCACCACCCCTGGCCGAGGAGAAACTCGGCTGTCCCATCAGCGGAGAAATCGACGGAAGCCTTGCGGATCTAACCTTTGAGTTCCTTTTGGCGGGTGACCGGTGCTGTAGACCCCGGTGCTGGCTGTAGACCCCGAAAGGAGCGAAAACACCGAAAGGGTCGTGGAACGGACCGAGCTGTAAAGGAAGTATGTGTAAACGCATACTTCGTCGAGTTAAACATCCCTAAGAATCCGGACCCGAAGCAACACATAGGGTTTGGTTCGGGTCCGGACCCCTGCGTTTCGAGGTCGGGTCCGACCCCTGCCATGGAGAGCCCGTTCGGATTCTTAAGGATATAGACATTCCGGACTGCCATAGGACTGCCGCAGTCCCGAGTGTCTGCGTATCAGACCAGCATCGCGGAAACTTTGGGACTCTCCGCACCCTCCACTCTCCGCTGACCGGGGCTATATGTGATGGGACAATGGCTGACCTGCGAACCACGAAGGATGAACCTTCGCGTTGACCGAAAACCTATCCGTTGTCAGCTGGTCAATAATGTGATGCCTCAAGGAAGAAGAAGCTGCACATCATTTTGCTCAACTGGTCTTGAGAAAAGTCCCTGTCCTAGAAGTCCAACTGATTATCTTCTCGTCAGTGAATTAATCTGCCGATCCCTCAGTCAGATATTGTTTCTGTGATATATATATACTGTATACCAGCTAAACCAAAAGTGCTAGAATTGTTACACCGTCTTTCAAAATGTACATTTTTGAGAAATACATACTCAATGATAATAATTTCAATTTCGTTTTTTAAAAGTTACACTTTTACTAAATACATACTCAACTTTAATATCTCCGGGTTATGATTAATGATGAATAGTACAGTATATGATGAATCAAGTACAAACAGGAGTCTCTGATGAATAGTACAGTATATGCGACTTCCCATGAGTCTCTGACAGGAGACTCTTCTTCATTGCCAGCACAGCATCATCAGTAAGCATGGCTGCGCCCTCAACAAGGTCTGAACAACTCCAAACACGGCTCAGTAGTGGCACCATGTGATCCCCAATGGCTACATGCAACAATCACTGGATTACACAATACATGCTCATGTAACACCATTACATGCTCATGATCTCCGCTCAGAATCCGGGTTTCTCCGCTCAGAGTCCGGTTTTGTCCGGGTCTAGTCCGGGTCAGTATTTTCTCCGGGTCTTAATTTCTATTTCTCCGGGTCACGTGTTACCTAATACATGCTCACCAGTCCTAATACATGCTCAACCCATTTTCTCCTATATCACGTTAATCACGCTCGCATTCTATATCTATACCTATGCCCACCGGTGGCCTCAAATTTCATCCGAGAGGTGAATCTTAAGAAATTTCCTCCGACTCAAGAAAAACAGTCGATTCAAAGAAAAAGTTCCGATTCAGTGTTTCTTGGTGGATCTATGCCTCTTTGGGGTGGAGGATTGCACGGTTGTTTGGAGAGCTGCCACGCCAGAGCTGTTTGACCAAACTCTAGGACCATGGACTGCATCAGAACTGCATAGCAGCCGAAAGCACTCATGTCCAAAGAGTTTCAATTGAACCATGGTGGAAACCTCCTGAATCCAGTTCACTGTGCTACTTGGTCCTGGTAGAAGTGTCCCACTACAGTACCAGCCCATTAGAATGGAGCCAGGCAGTCAGAATCACTTTTTCCTTTCAGCGGACCTGCCATGGTACTGTTTGTCCGGGCCTCAACACGTCTTCAAGCCGACCGCTTCGGAAAGGCACGCTTGTGCAAAAAGTGGCATTTGACATAGAACAATTCTAGGCACCTCCGCTCCATCACTCTGCTGTCAACACGACGACTCAGCCGCGAAACACGGCCAACGCAATCTTCGTTGATCTCGCACGAATGGATGAAGGGATTGAAGAAGTGACTGGCTCTTGGGTCTTTCAAAGCCTGAAACAACTCGTAGGCTTCATGTTTCCAAGCATGCACCTTGTATACCATCGCATAGGCAGTCACGCCATTGTTCAGGCAATAGTTGGCCAACCAATTGTATCCGTTCAGGATGCCTGTCATTTTTTCATACAGGTGTACTGCGCAACGTCGTGGCAACAGTAAACGGTGAGTTGTCATAAGACTGAACGCACTGTCAGCAGCTTGGAGCATGGCTCTCATGATCTTCAACACTTGAACATGCTCCGGCTTTTGGGGCTGGATCAGGATTTGTCCAACATAGGTATCTAGCCAGCGTACCAACAGCATGCAATCAGATCCCTTAGTGTTAAACCAGGGGCTGGTTGCCAGGTCTGGCCAAGACATCAGTGACTTGCTAAAGGACCTGAGAGCCGGGGTCTTTTTGAAAGTAGCCGCCCAGAGTTTGAAGTGGCCATACGCTCTTCGGATAAGAACTGGAATGCCATTCCCATCAGGCGAATCCATGTCATGGAGGTAACCCCAAAGAATCAGCATTGCTAGGGTCGAGGCAGCTGCATGACGAAACAGGCCCATTTTGCAAGTGTGAAAGGGGTCCCTTTTGTGCAATCTTCAAGGGCCAGGGGCGCAGTCCTATCACCACTGACCCTTCCATCCTCAATGGCCAGGGGCCTGGCTGAATCCTGAATAGCTGGGGCCATCAATTGGGCCAATCGGGCTGGATCCACAGTCTCAAAGTGTTGGTCAAGGAACTCCCAGAATGGTACCAAGTGCGGGTCCTCAATGATTGCAATATTGCGATGAAATACGAGAATGGAACCCCAAGGACTTCTATTTTGCAGTCTATGCCGAGGTATGGGCATAAAAAGAGTTAAACGAGACGAGACACAGAGAAAAAATTATACAAGCATAGACCCCAAACAGCCTCAAAACGATTCAACGATTCGTTTAAGACCAATATTAGTCATCAAAAAACGATTTCTTGGTTCGCCCTACTTTCACCCCAAGAGCAAACTGCTTCATCAATGAATTTTTGTCGGCATTGACACTGAAACACTGAAACATTTTTGGAGGAGCAGCTAGTATTCATAAATATGGGAGGTGGAAGAAGATATAGAAAACTAAGCGAGGATCAAAATGGCGGAGAGCTGCTCATTATTTATATATATGGGAGGTGGATGGAGATATAGCAAACTAAGCTCAGAAAACTGAAAACACAAAACTTTTTGAGTGACCCTAGTTGTTTGTTTGTCCTTCTTGGAAAGGTGCGGACGCAGAGCCGGGCCACAGAGTTCAGGGGCGCGGCCAAGACAAGGACAAGAGGAGGACAAGACCCGGACACAGAGCCGGGCCACAGAGCCGGGCCACAGAGTTGCTGTATACTAGGAGGACAAGAGGGGGACAAGGCCCAGCCACAGAGCCCAGCCACAGAGTTGACAGAGTTCAGGGGCGCGGCCACGAGGAGGACAAGAGGACAAGGCCCAGCCACAGAGCCCAGCCACAGAGTTGACAGAGTCCAGGGGCGCGGCCAAGAGGAGGACAAGGCCCAGGCGCGGGGCCATGATGCAAGAAATGCGGACCCGCCCCTGGCCAACCCAAGAGGAAAAATTACCACTACATTGACGTACGCAGGGAACTCTGCAGTCGTCATGTCAATCGTGCAGACATCCACTTGTCTTCACACACTAAAACATTGCAGTTTTTTAGGCTTGCAGAATAGCGGACGGGCTTCACCAGACAGCCACAGAGCCCAGCCACAGAGTTGACAGAGTTCAGGGGCGCGGCCAAGAGGAGGACAAGGCCCAGCCACCACGGAGCCCAGCCACAGAGTTCAGGGGCGCGGCCAGTGAGTGTGGCCAGCTCTTTTCTTTCTAAGATAGAACCCCAACAGTAAACTGTTTGGGGAATAAACTGCTTTGACAAAGCTGAGTCAAGGAGCTCTTGGTGTACCACTTTCACTCCATCGTCGAAAAGCCAGGGTGACCATGCGTTTGATCCCCCAGCTGTCCAAGTGCACAGTCGAAGTGGGGACCTTGATCATCATTTTCAGCCAAAAAGCCCGAACCTGAAGGGAATCGTTGATGGATGCTCAACTTGTAGAATCCCCAAAAACCTTATTTTGCAGTACCATTGTGCACTCTCAGCCATTCTTTAAACATCACTTTGGTGGAAAACATAACCAATGAATACCAATGATAGTTTTATCAAGAACCAGGCCTCAACCCGAAGGACATCGATTGGTAGCTGCCGTGGGATGGACGCTATTCCCACAGTTTCCTCCGAGGGCCACTCAGTCAATTGCTTGGTTTCCCGGGCTCTTGCCCGGATGTCAGGGTCTTTTTCCAATAGTAGACCCAAAGAGCCTACCTCCCCCAGCTCTGCCATTGGCTGAGGTTCAAAAACCAAGCGAGGAGCAAGAACGGACTGCAGACTTGAGCTGAAAAGGAAAAAGGTGGAACAAGTTCACCTGTGCTGCGCTCTGATGCTCTCTTAAAGTGGTGTAAGCTTGCTAGCTGTTCCAGCCTCACCCATCATGAGGTTGTTCATCAAAAAATGGCACCATGAGGTACCTCTGCCACTTCAGATGGGAACACAATTCCAACTGAAGCAGTGCCAAAGCGCACTAAAGAAGCAACGGTGAAGATCAAGAATGCCCAGCAGCGTACATGAGCCATTGAGCTGCCAGCACA